GGTTTAATTCTTATTTTGTTGTTTTTTCTAGATATTTTCAGTTTTCTATGTTTTTATATGTTGCCCTCTGCTGCCCTCTTGCGTTCTACTTTTTCCCTAGCTCCTTTTTTTTTGTTCTGCTCTGTGCACACCTGTTCCCAATCTGCTCGTTACTCCTCTCTTTGTCTCAGTCTTCCTTAAATACCCTTTCTCTTCAGTTCTTCTTTACTGGTTCCTCGTCAAACTTCCTCCAACTCTGTCTCTCTGAGCCTTCCTCCTTGTGATTGTGATCCCCCTGATGTCTCCATGGTTTCTGGTTTGTCTTGACTCGTTTTCTTCTTTTGATTTTTTGGATTCCTGGTTTCCTGTTTTTGGACTTTATTTTCATGTTTTCATTTTTGGATAACCTGCCTCTGTTCTCAGTAATCTCATCATGAAATTCACCTCTGTCTCCCTGCCTCGGCTTTTTGGTCAACAAACCCTATCCAAATCCCAGCACTAATAATGTAATTGGAAAAACAAAAAACAAAAAACAAAAACAAAAAACAAGACCAGCCATAAGAAAAACTGTTTTAAATCATGTGTAAACATCTTAGAATGGAGTAGAGTATTTCTAGTGACAGTACTTGCTTACTGTCACTTTCTTGTCCACCAAATATCACAGTGGGTTAACCAGATATTAAGTGGGAAAGTTCAGAAAATAAAAAAATCTTTTCAACCGTAGGATTTATTCTTCTGCTTGAATAATAAACATTAATACAGTGGTCAGGACATGCTTTATGTGCCCCTTTTGTTTCCTGCCCCTGCATGTCAAAACTCTATGTATGCCACTGGATTGTACATAGAGTGGATGGAGTAGTCAAGCATTTTACTCAGGCAACAGTTGCTATATATTATAAAGATATTATGCATAGGTAAAAAGTAATGTGCAGTAACTACTCCTTAAAAAACCCTTTTGTCGAAAAGTTTAATTAAATGCAATTGAGTAAATATAGCAAGTTACTATCCACCTCTGGTTTTGGGCACTATGTTTTAATGCACTATTCTTTTTTTCAATTTCTGAGTGAAGAAAGTGTAGTAACATTCTGGTAACATTCTATAATATATTAGGCTTTGCAGAGTTGAAGTGTTTCCATCTGTGCATCGCTTCTCATCAAAATTTGTCTGACAAATCTGCCAGCTGTTTCTTTTTTAGAAAGTACTTCATGTGTCAATGCTTGTCGTGTTGAATAGTTTATGTTTGATATAACTATATGGCAAGGCTGTTTCTTTTAGCCTATTTGAAGGCTTGGAAGTTTGGAAATGGTGAGAGAATCAAGGACAAGAGGGCTGACTGATCAGAGGATGTTTCTTTAGAGACTCATAATCACTTCATCCAAACCCCAAAGTCCAAACCAACCAACCTCCCCTATATTTTTTCATACTTAGGTTGTGCATAAACACCACCCCTAACCAAACTTTGTTAGTAAAGATCTCTAGTGATCCTTAATAATCATGCTTTCCTTAAATTTTAAGCACACAATACAACGTTTAAAAAGCGCGATGAACATCTTTTTTGGTCATTTCAGTGTATTTTATCTTAAAAAATAGGACTCTGAGACATGGAAATCATCTGCAAAAACACATTTGGTAGCTTTTGGTTGTGCAACAGAGCTTTCCTTTTCTTTGCTAATAATAGCACTAGTATTATATTTCCCTCCTTCTGGAAGCCTTACTTAATAAAGGACGACTGAGTGTGTTGGCTGAAAATACGACATTAGAATGATCCATGACCGCTTGGAATACTTTGCATTTCTCTTGTGGCATTGCGTCTTCCACATTAGCATAGCTGTGCGGCCTTGTGAATTGTTTTGTTTTCTGAATAATAGCTTGCCTTCAGGGGGCTGCACAGGGGCACAGCCAAATAGGCTCCGGTTTTGAATCTTAGAAGGGACTGTTTTTGTTGAGCTTGCATGTTTTTCTTGTGCTTGATTTATTCTCTGCTAATTATTTGCCATCTGTCTTTTATTATTCCACTTGTCATTACTTCAAAGCTTTCTCTGCAATTATTAGGGTTGTAAAAAAGCTTTGAGTTTTATAAAGACATTGCTGCAATAAAGTATATAAATATATATGTATATATGCAATGAAAAAAACGCAGAACCGCAGAACCCTCAAGCTCCCAGGCCTCTGGTAGAGGAACCAAGCTTGGAGGAGAAAGAGAGACCACCTGCGATGGGTGAGGAACAGTTTTTTTTTTTTTTTTATGTGCATTTATATTTTTTTCTTTTAAGTTATCCAAACCAACATGACCCTGTCGGAAGAGCTAAACAGTGAAGGCTTATAACTGGGTATTTCACTGATGGCAGGAAGGACTGTTATGATGGGCTGGTAATATTTGGTGAGCATTTCCTTCAGTGAGTAGGAAAGGATGATGTTGAGTTTTACCAACTAAATTTTCAGGCAGTTATTGCAATAAGAATTAAAAGAAAATATATAAACTATTTTAAAATGTTGCGATCATTACCATGTTTTTAGCAGTCTTAAAATAGGAGCCTTGCAAATACAAAACAAGGACAAAGAATCTTCCTTATATAATTTCCACATGTTTGCATGTTTGCGCATTCCCGAGGAGGGTCTGCCACATAACGCCTGTCCCAAACCATGTAGTATGTGGGGCAAGTGGACCGTTCAGCTCTTCAACAGCAAGTCTGCATGTGTACTGGAATTTGGCAGCAGGTGCAACGCCAACTTACGGAGGAGGAAACACGTGCATTCAAATATAAGTTCTGCGGGTTAGCTGGATGTTCAGCTGAATCCCAAACTGCACCCTGACCACTAACTCTTAACTATCAACTGTCACTCTATAAAGACACACTCACAGCTGTGGAAAGCGCCTGGATTGTACGTGGGGTGTCAACCTGCACCACAGAGCAGGTTGACATGCATGTCAACCTGTCCCCTGACATAGCTGTGCTATAATATTTTTTATCATTTATGTTATATAAGTGCAGATTTTTAAAGTTTCTCCAAAGTTGCAGGTATTTCAGAATGATCTCAGTGGTAGTGGTGGCCTAGTGGTTAGGGCATAGAGCTCTGCTCCCCAAGGGGATGGGTTAAATGCAGAGAATGAACTTCGTTGCACTGTACTTGTAACAGTGTAATGACAATAAAGAATGCTGGAAATCTAAAAGATCTTTTTTTTCTTAATTAGGATGCTGCAAAAAAGTAAGGCCGTTATATTACTTGGGTCATCATCATCAGCCACAATGGCGTGTCATGATGGGTTTCAGAAAAGCCCAGTATGCAGAACACCACGGAAATAGATGAAAAGTTTAACAAGTTTTATTGAGCACAAGCACATGGAATAAACACGGGAACTGGTTCAGGCCTGGGGGCAGGTTCACTGGAGTCTGTGAGGATGATAGTTCAGTTAGCTTGGGAGCAGATGAGTCTGAGTTTGAGAGTTTCAGATTTTATTCCTTGAGGTGTCCGGGTTTTGGCTTTGAGAGGAGAAACTGTTGGGTCCAGAGACTGTTTAGTTCAGCAGAGTCCAATAACCGCTTCAGCGTCTTACTTCTAGCGTGAGGGCAGACCTTGGCTTTGGGTTTCCAGCTCTTAGTTCAGAGCTGCATGAGAATCCAGAGAAGGGTCTTCAGGTTTGGCTCAGAGGGCAGGCTCGGCAGGTTAAGCTCAACCAGAGCTTACAAGGAAAAAACTGGATTCCAAACTGGATAAACACTGCGGCGTTGAGGCAAGGTCTGAAGGTAGGTTATATACTGTGGATCCTCTGATGATGAGATGCGCCTCAGGTGTGTCGAAGGCTCAGCTCAGGAGGATCCACGACGGACTCTGCTGGAGAAAGGTGGAACTTCTCCAGATCCCAACATGGCGTGCACAGCACCTGCCCTTTTCATGCCAAACCAAAAAAAAAGGGCCCTAATGATGGTTGCCTTTTTAAAAAAAAACGGTGTAGCTTTAGAGTGTGGCCCGTTTCTGGATCTAAAAACTTTTACCAAAACCACTAACTTTTATACTTTTGCACAACAACACCCCCCACCAAAACTTTGAATGGTTTGAAATGGTTAATTATTTTATTGACACAAATTTTTCATTAAACTGTGTTCAGTTTTTACCAATTTTATGGTGAAACCAACCTGTAGATCTTATTAAAGATATTGGTAGGACAGAATATGCCTATTAATTTGAAATAGGCTACATATATGATGTTTAAGCTGTGTCCGTAATAAACACTGCCAGGACAGTGAGCGCTATGCACCACACAAAGTGCCCTTTTTTTTTTTTTGCTTGAGCACCTGCCCCCCAAAAAGTCTTTGCACTGCACTGATCATCATTACCACAGTTTTAATTCATGTTTTGTGTTTTACATGCCTTTTTTATTTATTTATTCTTATCAGCTTTCCTTGGATGACACTTTATGTTTTCCTATGGCTATTTTTATATTCATTTTGAAATTGTTCAATAAAAAAAAAAAAAAAAAAAAAAAAAAAAAAAAAAAAAAGTGGAACTGCCACTTGATTATTAAGGTGCTTAGACTGGTTTGTCTGGGGTGCTGGGACAGCTCTGTAGTTTTATCGTAGTTACAGCTACTTTACACCAGAGGCCAGTGTAGTGCTTCTCAAAACAAACTAACAAAACCTTGTGAGAAGTCTAAAGTGACCTAATATTCATTTTAAGCCCTAATTTGTGAAATGAATGAAGGAAAATGTAAATAAAAGTGGACTCAGTAATAATATATTTAAATTATTTCATTCTTTTCTTGCTATTTTCTGTTTGCAGCCTTTTTAATTCTAGAAGCAATAGAGAATACAGAATAGACCAAAACTATTATATGAATAAATATATAGAGATTTGTGGATTTCTGAGTTTATTCTAATAATTCTTTGTGTCAATATCTTCAGGTTTTCAAAGCTTAAATGCTCCTCTTTCTCCGCCTATTTCCATAATGAAATGAATGTGGTAGCTTGAGGCGGAGAGTAGAGTAGGGCTGGCTTTTAGACATCTGACTCTATTTGGAGTTGTTTTCTCTCACAGATATGTTTTTTCCTGTTCTCTTCAACTGGTGCTGCTCAAACCACAGTTCACTGGCTGCCTGCATCCTATCAGAGAGCCCTCAGCTGCAGCATGGGTGCTCTTCCAATGCACTGGGTCTTATGGATGAGTGTTTTAATGTTTGCAGGGATAAAAAAGGCAAGCGGTGAGTTCAGGTTCTTGTTTATACTTATTAAAAACTAAGAGAATAAGAAGGCTTATTATAGGGTAGCAGAAGATAGTTTAAGGGATTCTTTTGTTTATTTACTGTATCTTAAAATGAAGTAAAGAGGCTCAACACTAAACTTGCTCACCTCCCATAAATAGGCAGAAAAAACTATTAATGCCCTCTTTTTATGAGTGTAAAATATGTATTAAAGCCTATGAAATGTTTTATTTTGCTTTTTAACTACACATTTCCTCCATTCTGCCAAATTATGTAAATATTTCCATTGCTCAAAGTTTTTATGAGGTTTTACTTAAGTTGAGTTAAATTGAGTGCAGATCAGCTTTGTTTGATACATTAGTAGCTCTAATTTGAAGCATATTTCATCTTGGTGCATTTTAAAATTAAACTAAACAAACCCAGCTAAAATCTGGAATGAATTTTTTCAAGTTTTGTCCAGTTTTAACTGTATTTAGTTCTAATGGTTCCCTTTGGTTAATTTTATTCAGAGTTTTCTTATTATCTAGCCAAAACAAGATAAAAAATGGTGTGGTTTTAGCTGTCATTTGTAACTCCATTTAAAGCTTTCCTCAAAGTATTCAAAGCTTGTTACGTTTTTCTTTTTTTTTAGCCACAGAATGCTGTTTTACCACATGATAACACATAGCACTATCTACAGTAACTGAAAGGAAATATGTTTGCATCAATCCCCCTTTGATTCTATCACATTTTTTAATGCAGCTGCATTCATTGCTTAGAGAAGCAGGAAAAACTCTTCTGTTAACTGGAAGTGTTGTAGCTCAGTTTTACGAAACTGCTTATCTGTATCTCTATATGACCTCAACCCATCAGGCATTTATAAAAAAAAGTGGTAACAGGAAACTTATAAAAAGTCACATTAAAGTTTGTAAAAAATCATTTGGGGAACAAGGAAAATGTGCAAAAAGAAATAAAATAAGACTAAATTGAACTTTCTGTATTACAAATTACAATATTGTGACTGCAGGGAAATCCTACAATCATAATGATAGAGGCAACATAAACCTTCACACTGAGGTGGAGGTTCACCTTTTATTGGTAAGACCCCAGACAAAAAACAAGGGATTCGATGCAATGTTTGAGAACAAAGCATTTTCCTTTGTAAAGGTTCCTAGTAAGAGTCCATGCATAAATCCAGCTGAGTATTGGAACCAAGACTTAAAAATGGAGGTTCATAGATAACCATGTTTGCAATCTGGCCAAGCTTCAGCTGGTGTACAACAGAGAGTTAGAAAATATTTCAGTTTCCGGATGTGTATAGCCAGCAGAGACATATCAAGCTAGAATGCAGCTAGAATTGATAACAGCAGCTAAAAAAAATCAACATATCAAAATATACAATGTTTTTTTGGCCCCTTTCCTTTACCTTCAGAACTAGTCTGCATTTGTTTAATTACACCAATAAATACATTGGTTGGTCTTGACCTACAAAATGTGAGAAAGTTTCTATTTTCTTTTCTTTATTTACATCCCTTGTTGTTCCATTTAAAATAAAATTAAAAAAAGGAAAATCTCTTTCCCTTTGTTGAAACAAAATTTTACCTTTTGGAAGCTGCCAGATTTTTATTAATATATATATGTTTTTTGTAGTTTTAGAGAAATAACTTTTCTACTCTTGGATTCAGGCTCAAACGTTTGCACCTCCAGAGGAGCCAGTACATGCAAGCAATGTCTGGCTGTTCACCCCAGCTGTGCTTGGTGTTTCAAAGAGGTTGGTACCTTTTCCTGCTACACTTTCATGGAAGCAATAAGCTGCCAGGCTGATGCAGGCTGGCACAGAGGTCCCGCTCAAGCAGAAGTAATCCTGGTTGGATCAACTCAGGGAATTTCTTAACGTGAGATACTGAGCTGTCAGTTACATGGGACACCGCAAATTGCAGAGCGAATATTGTTAAATGTGTCATCTGTCCTCTGATACTTAAAACCCCCAACCACATATGGACATAATCATGTTTCATTGTGCCAGCTCATGGTCTATAACACTTTAAAACTCAGAATGATGCAGCATTTCAATTTGCTAAAAGTATTTACAGATCTATACATTTTAGTCTTATTTCTCTCAACAGGCTGTGGTTGAACTTTTTTTTTTTTTTTTTTCAGTCCCCTGTCTGGCAATGTGGCAATAAGAATAATTGTCTTGATGCCAAAAAAGGGCCCAACAGATTTTGCTTTCACAAGTGGAGCAGTACGGCTGTCGCCATAGTGTTCCACTTGATTTATACATATAAATTGCTTTATTATGATTATGCAGGCAGTACTACAGATTATGTGGATACTGCAATGTAAGTAGCACAGGAAAGGAAAAATGAGAGAAGATGAAAGAAAGAGGAGATGAAAGGGAGACAATGATAACTGGTTGAACTTTTTAAGGGTAAAAAAATCTTTTACATACAATTAACTTCACTGAAACTCTGTTATAGACAGGAACTCCACAGATGATTGCTCAGAATGGGTTTCACTAAATCTGCTTTATTTTATTGCTGATATCAGGACTTTGGCCATGGAGTTGCCAGCTTATCACGCTGCGATCTGAAGAAAAATCTGATTGCAGCAGGATGTGATCAATCAAATCTAGAGTCTCCAACCAGCAGGCTCCAGGTGATCGAGGACCGGCCTCTCAGCAACAAGGCGGCTGGAGCAACCCAAGATGTCACCCAGATGAAGCCGCAGAAACTGCACATCACTTTAAGACCAGGTGGTTACCTTTAAATCAGAGTTATAGGTGATGTTAACTAATTAAACTCACAGCTAAAAACTGTCACATATTTTCCAGATGATGCAAAGCGCTTCACAGTAAAGGTTCGTCAGGTAGAAGACTACCCTGTTGACCTTTACTACCTCATGGACCTTTCCTACTCAATGAACGATGACCTTTTCCGCTTGAGGACACTGGGTCGAGGCATTGCTGAGGCCATGAACCGAACAACCAGCAACCTTCGCATGGGCTTCGGGGCATTTGTGGACAAACCACTTTCACCGTATATGTACATCTCACCTGAGGCAGCTGTGAAAAATCCCTGCTACAGGTAGGGTTAACCAATCCTCCACCCAGCTTAATCATAACAATAATAATTTTGACAATATCTCTTATTATAATCATGTTCATTTTAGGACAGATCAAATGCAGATGCTGAAGAAACTGTATTTAGATTAATTGCACTTTTAAATGTTTTGAACATTAGTTTTAAACTCGAAAAAGAGTCAGCATACTCTGTTAAGTATTCAGCACTCTTCTGCTTGTTCTTGTAGCTCACGCTCGTATTTTACAAGTTTTTGTTAGTTTTTTCTGCCCTAATGTGGAGCTGCCATTGGTGTCTGAGTTGAGTCGGTCGCCTCTGAGTATCTACCAGATCTATCTAGAATATAACGCCTCGATCGCTTGCGATCCAAAATGCATTTGGAGAAAACAGGCTACAGGCTTTTACTGTAGATGCATCTGCAATGAACCACTGATGTGACAGCCTGCTCATTAAATGGTGTTTTAGATGTTAAGGACAAAAAAAATTTGTTTTCAAGATACTTTTTCAGTAAAAACTAAGTATACAAATTATACATATAAATTTTTATATAGGATTTTATGCCCAGTAAAGCCTATCAAAATGTTAAATATTCAAAATCCTTTAGAAAGACACCCAGTGCAGCAGAGCTGGGAGTTCATTCGCTAGCACACGGTTGTCAGATTACTCCTCGTGAGAACCGGCGATGCCCAAAACTGAACAAGTGAGTAAGGCCATGCAGTAGTAGGCCAACCACTTGCAGGCGAACCACTAAGGACCGCTGCAAAGAAGGTCAGGCAACTGTTGGAGGCAGGGGTAACCACAACCCAGGTTGTGTGATTACAGAAATAGTCATGCTCACCTCCATGCACAGCCTGAGCTGAGGAAGCCAACTCCTCGAATGAGGTCATGCACACTTCTCTTCTACTCTATACTCTACAGGAAGAGGCAGAGGGCTGTTTTGGGTTTGCATGTGCCTCCTCAGCTCAGCCGTCTTGTGTCAGGGTTTATGTCGGTGGATGTGAAAGTCACATTGGTGCATCTTCTGACTCTGAGAGTCTGCTCTCTGACTGTTGCCTCAGCCTACAGGCCTAGTTGAGAAGGAATTCGACCAAGTTCCTCATGGTGTGCTGTCGGGGTGCTTCAGAAATATGGAGTCATGGGCCTTTTACTAGGGGCCATCATGTCTCTGTACAACCAGAGCAGGGGTCTCATCAAGATTGCCAGCATAAATTGGACCTGTTCCCATTCTATATTAGACTCTGTCCTCTGTCATAGATCCTGCTCACAAGTTTAATGGAGGGTTTATATTTGCAGCCAAGAGTAGGAGGGGGTCAAGTTTGATGATCAGCAGATTTTTTTCTCAGATTTTTATGATTGTTGCGCTGCATCAGTTTGCAGCTGAATGGCCTGGATGAAGATGTGTGTCTTCAAGATTGAGTCTAAAGTTCTCAATAGGAAAAGGGAGAACTCCCTTAGAGATAGGATCCAGGAGAGGCTCAGAGTGGAGTCACTTTTTTACATCGAAACGTCAAATGAGGTGGCTCAAACCAATGCCCCCTGGTCATTTCCCTAAGGAGGTGTTTCAAGCATTTCCAGGCAAGAGGAGGCACAATATACACTAGGAAGGCTTGGAAAAGTCTCTGGTGTTGGAGGGGAGTCAGGGCATTTCTGCTAAGACTGTCGCAACCCTGTCATTGATAAAGCGGAAGACGACAGGTCTGAGTACTCAAAAGCAATCATTCATAAAATATTTATTTATTTAATTGATATTTTGATATTGTGATTCCATTTTTACATTTCATTAACATTTGGTGTTTTAGTTAGAACCCAGTGCTAATATAAAGGAGTCAAAACAGTTTCATGTCTCATTGATGTGCTGCTGTAAGGGGGTAAAATGGTGACTGGTTTTCTCTAGTCTACAACACAAATATTCTAAGTTTTGTGTAAAGCGTTATGGAAGTTTATCTCAGCTTAGTAAAAAAAAAAAAAAGGTTAATGACGGAGCATATGTCTTTTGGGGTTTAATGAAAGCTTGCAAAATGTTTGTCATTTTTGACTTCAGCTTCTTTTTTCGACACATTTAGTGTATTCAAATCTAGACTTTGATTTGTCAGTGCACAGTGTGTTACAAACAGTGCTGATCTCACAGGTTGTTTATGTCTGCATGTAGCACCATTAAACTGATTATGTCATTTCAGTGAGGACGTCTTTAATCGCTGCAGTGCTTAGCAAGAGAGCAGTCAGAGTCACAGCAGTCGTTAAAGGCTCAGCTAGGCACCCACAAATGCTCGGTCAGCTGCTCTGAAACAGCCGCAGGTAGTTTACCCCGAGAGTAAGATTGACTACAAGTAAGCTGCTGTGAGGTAACTCCACCCTGAAGCTTCTCTAAGTTTGATTTGTTGGTTTAATCTCGGTTGGAGAAATGTACTTTCTGTTTACACATAGTCTGAAAAGAACTAGCCTAAGGGAATGTTTCAATGTAAGATAAGACAGACTAAAAAGTTGGAAATGATTTGAGGTTTAAGGTATGGTGTTGTATCCTGCTGCTTGTAACATGTAAAAAATGGGTACATTGTGGTCATAAAGGGACAGATATGCTTGTGGACAGAGGTGGGTAGTAATTATTTACATTTATTTAGTTACCTCACTTTAGTAACAATCTGAAAAAAATCTGTATTTTTTACTTTTACTTGTGTAATATTCTTGTAAATTATCTCTACTCCTACTTGAGTAAAATATCTTACTACTCTGCCCTTTGTGAGTAATTTGAACTATTCCAAAATCAGGTAAATATAAACAGGAGAAATTAACAATGGAAGTTTGTTACCCTGTCCTAACATATATACAGTTTTCTTTGTAAGGATTGTTTTTTTAAGTTTTATGTTTATATTTCTTATCCAATAATTTGCCCTTTTATATTTATGACATTTATTTGTATTCTTTCAGCATTTGAGTATTTAAAACACCATAACCTGCTTATAAAGCCTGTTGGCCAGGATCATTTATAAAGATTAAATCTGATGATATTATCCAACAGTTACTCAGAAAAAATTCACTCTCACTTGAGAACAATTTTTGGGTTCTCTAAACATCTCTGGCTGTGGAAATCACACTGTGCTCAATTGGCACAGAGGGGCTAAAAGAGAGCCAAGAAACTCTCCTTCCTGTAGCATTATGCCATAAGCAGTAAAAGAAGCTTGGGCCATTGATACAATACATACTGGATGAATGAAACCTTTTTCCAGGAGGTTGTTGTGTGATGTTGCTGAGCCTTTGTACATGGTAGCCCCAGTGTTACTATCTTATCTGACCGAAGTGGAACCTAGTGTGCTCTGCTCCCATCCAGCACATGCCTCTCACTGGATATTGGGTATGTTTATAATAAACCAGAGAGATGGATGGTTGTGTCTGAATATCCAAGTAGATCAGCAGGTTCTTAAATACTCATATTGCTGCCAGGTAATTGTTGACTTGGCTGTTTGTGTTTACAAGTAATTTTACAGGCATTCCTAATAAAGTAGCTGGTGAGTATACATTGTTTTGCCTTGATTTTGGAAGCTGCCCCACCTAAAACAGAAGCTGTAATGTGATGATATCAACTCATATACTGGAAAAGTCTGATTAGCAAAAAAAAAAAAAAAATTACTATAAACAAGCTAATTGCTATTTACGTCATTGACACAAAGCTAACCTTATACCGTACATTTAGCTTTGGGCCGGCCATAAATCGAATGAATAAGAGGAGATTGCAGTAAATCATCTGCACAATATCCATTTGAGTAAATATTTTCAGGAGTAAACACATTAGTCAACATGATTCCTTAAATCATATTGAATTAATGTCATGCATAGAATAAATAGCACTTAAAATAGTTAAATAAGCAGGGAGGAGTAAATCAATTCTATAGTCTAAGTTGTTTCTCCGGCTGACATCATTTCACATGCAGGCTTTGTATGTACAGGATTTAAATGTATTTATATAGCACCAATTTATGATAAATGTCATCTTAAGGCACTTTACAGAGACAATAAAGTCAGATCAAACACTCAGATTGGTTAAGAGTTTCTATCAAGGAAAATCAGTTGATTGCATCCAGTAATTAACTTGCAAAGTATGCACCTGATCAATTAGCTTGCAGTACCAATTTTCACTTGTATTGGATAAAAGAGAGCACATACAGTTGTTCATAGTAAGAGAAAAAGGACTACACTGAAAAACAGATGAATCTATAAACAAAGGTGTTGATGACATATTACTTCTCATTTCAGCATAGAGTCACTGTCAAACAGGAACAGACAAATCAACTATGAGAAAAAACATCACATTATGGGAGGAACTAATGAATACTGGAGAACAATTATAAGTCGTCCCTATGTCCTCCAGCAGCCTAAACATATAGCAGCATGAATATAGAAAATATTTTCGATGAGGTATGAGAAAAGTTGAGCCAATTTTAATTCAGACTCAGCAGAGTTTTGATAATGGTTATCATAACATGTCTTCCCCATCTAGATAAGTAATAGAAATGATTAAAGAAAAGTAATATTATGAAATCATGACCTAAGAAATATAAATGTAATACTATAAAATAGTTTTTTGTTGATGTAAATGCTTAAATAACGGAAATCTTAGATCTGTCATGATCAGTTAAAGGAATCTGACCCAAATGCAGAGAAACCACTCAGAGAACACGGGGAAACGTTTGACAGGTTTATTTGATGTAATGAGTACAGGAGTTGGATCTGGAACTCAGTGGACTGTTGAACCGGAACTGGAAGGTCCAAAGGGGAGACCACAGTGATCAATTCAGGGACCGTGGGAAATTTGACCGAAACTTGAATAAAGGTGAAGCGGGACTCACGTTTGAGGGGGTTCTTGTCATTCCTTAAATCCAGTCTGTGTGGGATCTTCCAGAGAAGAGGATACTCATTGGAGACTTGAACGAATCATGTGGAGGTTTTACCCTGCTCAGTGCATTCTCAGTTATTTCTTCCAGGGGGAGAAGGTCCAGGTATCCAGTTTTCACAGGAAGGCTTCCCAAAACTGGCAAACACTCTGGCGTTGAGGTAGTGACAGCCCACTGCTCAAATACTCCTCCAGATAATGATCCAACGAGCCGCAGGTGTGCAGGGAGGCCCAACGAGGACAGGGAACCACCTGGTGGTTGAGAGAGAAAAACACACAAACAACCCACACAAACTGGATTCCTAACAAGATCAGTTCATATAAATTACAATTTCAAGAGAAAAAAAAAAGCAAATTTGTAAGCATAAAATATTTTCTATAGAAGACAAATAATCATAAAAGTATAAAATTTCACAATTTCATGGATTTGATTGTATGTTATTACAAAAATCTTTGTGTTTTACCCCTTCATAAATGTTAGCATTTCTCAATAGGCCATGCTATCATCACTCAGTAACTTATGTATGTTATTGTTCGGTCTGTCTCGGTTTACGTTCACTGGTTTCATTTCTACTTTGGGTGACACTCAGTGCTCATAGGTCATGACGGTATTTTTCAAGTCATTGAAAACATACTATACTGCATAAGATCTCGAGGAATCTTGAATGTTGGCATGGAGGTCTGAAGCACGGGGGCTTGGTTCGCAACTGCATTGGGTTGGTTTAGAAGCATGTGGCTGGAAAAGAGAAACCCATACCAGGCCTAAAAAAAAAGAGGAACTGTAGAAAGATAAAAAAAAACAGACTGGTAACTGATAAAAGATAATATTGCACACAGTAGAGTTGATGCTTGGCAGGACAGAGACCAAAGGAACTAAAGGAAACATCTGGCGATGAAAAATGCTAAGGGAAATAAAAAAGGAAGTAACAAAAGTTTGTACAAAGCAAACATTTTAAGATTTAAACAACGAAACATCGCACCAAACCTTGAAAGAAAAAAAAAACGAGAACAAGTCTATGTTAAAATCAACAAACCCAAACCTGACACCATGGGTTAACACGAACATGAATTAAAAAGTTGATTTCTCTTCAATTGACAGCATTAATACCACCTGTCTGCCCCAGTTTGGCTACAAACACGTGCTGTCTCTGACGGAGGAAGTTGGCCGCTTCACAGAGGAGGTGAAGAAACAGATTGTGTCCAGGAACAGAGATGCCCCCGAGGGAGGATTTGATGCAATCATCCAGGCTGCTGTGTGCAAGGTGGAGAGACACACCGCATGAATGCAAGCATTTTTGCTGCCTCAGACACATTTACTTAGATTTTAATATGCATTCTTTCCCCTTATGTCATACTGAGTTAATAAACGAGAAACATCATTCTCAGAGATAAAACTTTTTTGTGTAAATTAGAAGGGGATAAAAGAAAGAATCTGAAAATCAATGTTTTCCCCCTGTGTGTGAATTAGGAGCAGATCGGCTGGCGTCCAGGTGCTTCGCACCTTCTGATTTTTACCTCAGATGCTAAAACCCATGTAGCTTTAGATGGTCGACTTGCTGGAATCGTGCGGCCCAACGATGGAGAGTGCCATCTGAACTCTGACAATATGTACAGCATGTCAACCACTATGGTAAGCACATATTGGGGTTGACAAACAGAAATGTGTGCAGGCATTTCTTGCAAAATCTTTGAATGTTGTGTGACCTAACAGCACTGTCTGATTTGTCCCACAGGATTATCCATCCCTTGCTTTGATCACAGAGAAGATGTCAGAGAACAACATCAACCTCATCTTTGCAGTAACAAACTCTGTGGTGTCCCTTTACAAGGTCAGTTCAGACCCAATACAATGAAATCACCATAACCCCTGAAAAAGGTTAAACCTGGCTGCTAAAGAATCAGATCCTTTCAGCTCATCCTTTATTTTTCGCCATTTTCAGCAGTTTCCTTGCTTTGCAAACAAATCCTTGAAAAATCGTCTTGAAAAAAAAATAAACAATCTCAGGTTCTGAAATATAGAGCCTTAGTTTTTATATACATGTGATAGAAGTAAATATATTTTTTATATTAAGTACTGATAAAGAAACAATATTGAGGGATGCAGGCCATGCGCTGCTCTGGAATTAAGGAAAGACAGCTGTAAATCAGAGAAAAAGGCCAGGCAAAGGAAAGGTACAAAAAATGTTTCTATCAATACTTTCTACTTTCCATTTTGACTTAAAAAAAGCCTCATCTCTCTGCTCCTTCACCCCACATCACAACAGCATCCAGTCTCTAATTGTTCAACAAAATGTGGATTGACAGAACCGATCAAGTATTTGAACTGCAGTGAACTTTGCATTTCATCCTCAGCAGTTTTCTTTTCGCCCTAATTGTTCCGCTAGAAACATATCCTTTGCGTTGCTTCAATCCCTTCTCTCATGAATGCGATTTGACCATAGGAGAAAACTATGCAGTGGTGTTAAATTTTCCTCATCCATACAGCTGTCATAAAACAGGACAAATGGACCCAGTATTCAGGAGAGACTGACAGTAGGAAGTTTCAAAACATTTAATGACAAAAGAAAAACAGAACAGAAACAAAACGCTGGCTGCTGTGGATCTGCGGACATGCAGCGCATGCGGGCGAGGCGGGGTAACATCCATCACTGGCACACTGGTTGTGGGAGAAACACAGGTAAGTGACCATGATAATCTGACAGAAGATGATTGTCTCTGTGAGTCACTTACCTGGTTTAACAGTTCAGTCCCTCCTCTCTGCAATGCTGAATCCAGGTCAGGAAAGAGATCCATGAGTCCGTAGCATGACCAGGGCTTCAAAACAGGAAAAGATGAATACGTTAAGAGTTCCATGAGTTCAGCAGTGAGCTCAGACAATTACGTTTAGATGGAGACAGGCGTGCCAAGTGGTTTAGAGGAACAGAGGCAAGACATGGTACCAGGAGAACTGCAGAACTTTAAACCTGGCTCCAACCAGGGGCCAGGATCAGAGGACTTAAATCTGGCTCACCCCGCACGCCGAGCCACAACGAGTGGACTCCTTGGAGTAGAGCCAGGACTCAAGTTGCCCCCACATGCCAAGCCAAACTAGACCATAACAGGCTCAGTGGAGAAGAGCAGGGACGCGATCAGGAGACATGAGACAACCACTAAAACCCGCCAGAATCCCTGGCCCCTAGGGACGGGAACATGAACCATGGAATAACTCAAACTAATGAAACAGCAATAAATCAAACAAACATGAATAATGATCTGGCAGAAGGAGCAGGTAGATAAGACGAATGCTATTTAGAGAGCTGGGAGGGCATGGCAGGTGAATCAAGTGAGTAAACAGATTAGCTACCTGGGCTGCGATCATGACAATAGCTTTGCATAAATGGCAAGAAAAGGTACTCGCTTAAAGAACTTGTAGCAAAACCAAGATAAATTATGCACAGATTGATTTTTTTACTGTAAAGAAATTGGGATTTTAACTCTTACATTTCCCTACATAAATATGTCAATGCCATTTATTGTCCCACAATGGGGAAATTCACTCTGTGCATTTAACCCATCCCCTTGGAAAGCAGTGGGCTGCCATCGTGTAGTTACTGGGGAACAGTGTGAGGATAAGTGTTTTGCTTAGGAACCCAAAGTGCATGCAGTAGGGATTGCAACCATCTCAGAACATAAAGGCATTGCTCTAACCACTAGGCCAACACCAGCCATACATAAATGTGCTGTGTGTTGTTGTAATGTGAAATAAAACTGATGGAAATAAAAGGAAGTTTATGGTTTTAATGGGACAGAATAGAAAATTTGTTTTTGTGCTTTTGTATCCATAAGTTATTGTCCCTCTTTTACCATCAATGAATGCACTTTTAAAAACTGAAAACAATTCTCCTTGAATATCAAACTAAACAGTCACATCCCATGAGTGAGGTTGCACTCTAGAAATGGTTAAACTGAAATAAATTTTTTATTTTGTTAAAAATTTTTCTTTTCTGAGGATTTGGAATAAGTGTGGCAGTTTTCGAGTAAAGACCTTGGACAGGTTCTTGTGTGTTTAAGGCACCTGAGAATACATAGAATTCCTGAAAAGGGCAAACCTATAACTTTTTCGGACTCTGTTAAGCTGGAAGCATGTCAAATACGCTGCTACAGCAATAGTGAGTACAGATTCCTTCATGACTGAGATTTACTTGGTATGTAAGCATGCCCCCCTTTCACCCATGTTGATGCTTTCTTATCAAATAAATTCTGAGTATAACACAACTTTTGAGGTTTAGATATGGAGAGAGGAGGGTGTTCTCACCATCCATCATGTAAACACAGTCTTAAAACAATTTCTGCAGAACACTAGGAAAGGGTTTTATTGCCATTAGATGGACCTAGCAGTCAAATTTTATTCTTTTGTCCCAAGGAAATAAAGTTGGAATGCTCTGGAGAAACAATTTTCAGAAATAAATGCTGAACAACATGTATTTATGTTTGATCTTATCACTACCTGGCCTTTGTAGGTGGGAGTGTTCTTTAAAAATCCTTATTAACTCTAGAGTCGAGAGTGTCTAACAGAAATACATTCAAACCATAAAAAAAATATTTTCCTTACAGCTTTATTTTTTGTTTTAATTTGAAATATTATTTTAGTAAAAACAATTTTTATTTAAGATGTTAAGGGAAAAAATATCCCAATCCTTGCCACCATGAGAAATATATATTTAACCGTCTTATTAAAAACTACATTTACTGTGATTAACCTCTTTTCTGGTTGGATTTTAGAGACCATGAATACGCCTGATTATTGTGACAGAAACGTAGACGTATTAAGTCACAATAACAAAGCAAACTAGGCATAAAGTCACTGACATATTTTCATTTTACAAGGGTTGCTTGGTCCTTTCTAGGTTTTAGGTCCCTAGTGAGCCACAGTGGTGGAACAATGAACATTTAAAGCTCAATCTACCAAAATTAATCCAAGAGTGGATCAACAACCGGGGATTAACATAGACCCTTACCACATCTCACAATTTCCAGGTGTCACTCACCCCTTAGGTTTAGTGTTTATTATGAAGAATAGGAAAAGAATTAAGAAAAATTTGCATTTATTGGAGAGTTTGAGTCAAAAAGCACTGCTGAGTATAAGGGGAATGATCTCTGAACAGATATAATTAGGTAGAACATTATAAAAAGCTTGCATCACTTTACAGCTGGCATAAAACTATCATTGCATTGCAGACAAAGAAAATCATCCCACAGTGGTTTTAGTAGAATAAACTGGTAATTTGTCATAATTCACAAAATGATGAATTCTTCTCTTTTGCAGAAAATCTTCGATCAGTTTGATCAATAAGTTTAAGCTCACTTGGGTTTTGCAGCAGGTCAACCTCTGAATAGCTAAAAAAACAAAAAAACAAAAACACATTAAGATCTTGGTCAGTTTATTTTTGAAAATACTCCCGTGTGGCTGAATTAATAAAATTCTCAAAGGACTTGTGGACGAAACTTTCTCCAGAGTTTCTCCACTCTGATAACCGCAATCAAGATTTGCTTCTGCTGTATAGGGTCAAACTTCTCCCCCCAAAGGGTAATATTTGGACAATGCAGTATATATTTGGTTAGATTACATTTATTTAAATAGATGAACCCCTATGGGAGGGGAGCTTTTTGCTGAAATCTATGTGAAGGAGTGCAGCGGAGAGGAAGCTTTTTGTGATCAAAATGGAAAGTATTGATAGAGTTTTACAGGCTTTTCCGTTTTAGAATCAAGGATGAACACACTTCAAAGCATTACTCAGGGTCTGATTTCATCTATATTTTCATGTGTGTTTTGGCAACCCTCTTAGCAAATGAACCGCAGAGGCTAATGGAAACCAGAATGCCATACCTTGGTATAAATGATTCAATGGTGTCTGTTTTAACACTGCCTTTAGTGGTTATTTCAAATAGATGTATTTGTCACTCATTACTGTTGCTCTAATTTATAGACTAGATAACATGTGATACACTTAAGAAACATTTAAACTCCTCATCATTGTGTACTGTCTATTGCAGAACTACAGTGAGCTTATTCCCGGCACCACAGTAGGAACGCTGTCAAACGACTCTGGAAACGTTATCCAACTCATCCTTAAAGCTTACGCTGTGAGTGTCACATAAATACACACTTTCACACTCTTACAAACACACACAAAACCTTGGCTAGACAATGTTTGAGGAGATGACATGTGTTTGCTGACCCACACCCATGATGTGTGAGTCATGTGCACTGAGCCACAGTCTCAGTGGAAATGCCACAGCTTCTGAAGAAGTGTGAATCTGACCAAATGTTGGTGTTTCCTGGCTGTTATTCAACATTTATGTTTGACCTAAAGCCATGAAGCAGAAAAATTATGGATGAGAGAATACCTGTAGATTAAAACAATAACTCAAAGATGTTTTTAAAGAACCAGCAGGAGCATAACAGGTTCAACATAAATGGTTAGCTGTGTCTAAACTAAAGCAGTAACTTGATGCCACAAAGATTGTACAACAACTGGTATTTTTCTGTAGAGGAAATTAAACCTTTTTCTTTCTGTTCTGTGTTTTTGTCAGGAAATTCGTTCTAAGGTGGAGCTGGAGCTTCTGGGTGTCCCAGAGGAGCTGTCCTTGTCCTTTAACGCCACCTGTCTGAATGGAGAACTCATCCCAGGCATGAAGTCCTGCTCTGGGCACAAAATAGGGGACACGGTTAGTCCACTGTGACACCACTATTTTCCAGTATGGATGATTTTCAAGAAGAATGAATTAAATATGTATTATTCAACAATACAACTGATTAAAGAAAAGAAAACATAAAATAATTATTTAATTCAAGATTTTAAGATACTTGCCTATGCATTTATAGGCTGTGATAGGATCAACTCTAAAGTCTAATTTTCTTTGTGATAAATGGATTAAATATAAGCAATGAAGGGATGAATAGCAAAAAGGAAACTTTGCATAAAAATTTATCAAAAAATCAGAAAAATTTTAAAACCTACCTTTCACTTTCCTTCCTCCTAAAATTCCATATCGAGTTGTAAGTAATTTGTCGGCACTACTTGTATAGAGGTGCAAAGAGCATTTAAATACTGAAAATTACAGAAAAAATCCTTTAAATTTAGCACATTACTGCATGTTGGGTTCTAAAGTTTTTTTATGTGCTGAAAATCACTGGGTCAAACTTTTTGAAGATCCCATAGTCTCCTAAAAAAAATTTCTAAATTAAACACCTTTTGCAATGTGGGTGACATTCTGTGAACTTTTGCTAACTAATCTATGAATTCCTGTTTTGTGGGATTAAATATGATGTAACACAGAGAATTGTTTAAGCGGCTCTTCAACATGGGAAAGCCAAAAGAGTGTGATACCTACATAAGGGATATGTGTTAACCTTAGAAAGACAGAAAATGTTACCTTGCATATCGATATCTGTATATACAGTCTGAGCACTAGTCTGATTTTTATAGCAAGAGGATTGGTGACAAAGATCTATCAGGTCCAGTGTTTTTGTTGTCTCCATAAAGAGGATAAGGATGGTAAAGAAAAAGAAAAAAGTTAAAAAAAAAACTTTGAAAGTAAAACAACTTGACTGCAGTTTTAAGCTGAACTCATCATCTGAACAGCATGTAAAATTAATATTCCAAGTCTTAAACTGTTTGGAAAGAGCTCTGCTGCACATTTAGATTGACCTTAATGATCTGAAAGCCCATCATCTTAGCGGATCAGTGTCTGATTTGGAAGGACAAAGTGAACCAAAGTAGAGGATTTGTGGTATAAATTTTACTGAATATCTTCTATTTAATGAGGCTGAGTCAGACATTTGGAACCACTATTAAATGTAACTTCTATATCCTATAATTAGCATGCAATAATTACTAAATGGCAATAATTACTAAATGGCAGTAAAAAACGTTGGTATTTTGTTTACCTTTATAGTATAAGGAGCTAATAAAAAACATACATAGTTCTATTTGCTATTTTTGCTTTTATTGTGGAAAATGTCTTCCTTATATTTCCATTTCCCTTAAGTACACCATCTACATCTATTTTAAAATGGATTTCTCATTTTCTTTCCAAATGCTGTCAAGGAGCAGACTGTGGAAGGAACAGATCAACAGTCTTCACTCTCCTGTCTGTTTTTTTCTGGGCCAAAATACTTGATTTAAATGTCTGCTTTAAAAGTTGACCTTTATTCTTTTTGTTACTAACTTAAATTTGAGTCTGTGTTGTTCTTTCCTGAGTTTAAGTGACCCATTCTGCCCCTCCACAAATTTTCTTTTCTCCCTGGCTCTGATAATATTTCCATATTTGGATCTCTCTGCAGATGTAGTTACTGCCCACTTTTGGACATCAACCAAATATGGATCCAGTACCTCACTAAACAACTACATTAACTTTGTGCTTTTCTTTGCATTCCTTTTAAAATGCTTCCTTATGAAATCGATTTAATAATGGTGTAAAATGAGCAGTAGTTTGGTGAACATCAATCTTTCTGTCCTTTAGGTCTCATTCAGTGTGGAGGCCCGTGCTCGGGGCTGTCCCAAACAAAAGAAGAAAACATTCATCATCAAGCCTGTGGGCTTCAAGGACTCCCTCTCCATTACTGTCACCTTTGAGTGTGACTGCAAGTGCCAGAGCAAAGCCCAGCTAAACAGCCCTAAATGCAGCAACGGGAATGGCACCTATGAGTGCGGCATGTGCCTGTGCCACCCCGGCAGGTTAGGGCCATACTGCGAGTGTGCAGAGGGTGACTATAACCCCATGGAGCAGGACCGCTGTAACGGGCCTGAAGGCTCCGGAGGAGCCGTCTGCAGCGGCCGCGGTGACTGTGTGTGCGGCCAGTGTGTGTGCCACAGCAGCGACTTTGGAAAGGTGTGGGGGAATCTGTGTGAGTGTGATGACTTCAACTGCCTGAGATACAAAGGAGAACTATGTTCAGGTAAGGTTTGATGACCTGATTAAGATTAAATGTAATTTAATTCTTTGCCTAAATATTAGACTTAAATAAATCTTATAAGACAGAAGAATACAACTGAGGAATATGTACCAATATAATATATGAGGCACTGTTAATAATCAGTTAGATAAATCATTTTACCTCAAAATCAATATTTCTGGCTCCTCAAACTTCAGAATTGGGCCTTTTATACCATTTCTGACAAAGATTAGATGCTGATTTTATAAATAAAAAAGCCCAAACAGAAGTCTGTGGTTCGCTGCTACATGTAACACTCCCTATACTCACAACCCTCTTCTCTTTGTTAAGATATAGAAAAGGCTCAAAATGAATTCAGATTTAGTTGTATGACCTAACAATGAAGCATTTATGAGAAATTACAGAAAAATATAACTTTCCGTGCTGATTTTCATATGTTGTGTCACTTTCCAACACAACACTGTTGTGAGAAAATGCACATTTCTACAAGATTTTTTATTTTTGTTGATAGGCAGACGTGTGTTGAGGGTAGCCATTTAAAGAAAGAAAAGATAAGAAAAAATAACTGACAACTGTGTTATGAATTTTTGAGGAAAAAAGAAATATCTCCAAAAAGAAAAAGAAAAGGACAATTGGAGAATAAGGTCAATTATAAAAGGACAACAACAAGAAAATCAGAAAATCAAAATTACGTTGTTAAAAATGATTACCATTGTTTTTTTAAAAGGTATAGTGGAGGATTTTCATGATTTTTGAAAAGAACCGCCCTCTCCACTTTAAAAAAATGCACATGCACAACCCCGTACCCGCTCCCGAGGAGAGGGAATGCCTGTTAAACGTGTGCGAGAGTGTGCACAATCCAATTTCTCCTTGTGCACGCTCTGTTTAAAAGTTGCTGTTTGCATCACTCATACAAGCTTACTTTCCCATAGAAAATGTACATTTTTTTCCACTATGTCAGACTCACCAACGTTAAGTGAAAATGGGGGACGAGCACGTAGGATGGCCTTATGTAAACATATCGCCAGAATGACTGACAATTAGGAGGACCACTTATTTTGATGATTCCACCCGGAAATCCTCATCTATACCTTTAAAGTTAAATTAAAGGACTGTGTTTAGAAAAGATGATTGAAAGTGGAAATTTTGTCAGAGACAAAAGCTTTTTCAGATATTCCCAATTTTAAGAGAAGGACATCTTTTATTTCAACAACTGTGTTGCTCAGCAACAAATTAAGCAGACGGATAACAAAAAGCCAAACATTGAGTGACAGGATCATAAAGCTCTAAAGGACATTCGCTTTCAGTGTGCTATTGTGTGATGGTTTTACTGCGATCATTAAGGCTAGTTTAAGGTGAACCTTAATGACAAGAACAAATGGACATTTCTTTCAAGATTTCATATATAACTTGTTAAGGAACAAGCTTTGAAGTTCACAGGAAGCGTGTTTGTGGCCCGTGGGGCAATTTTAAGATATTCTCAACTTCTGGAGCCACATGTACTGCAGTTTTTCAACCCGCTGAAATATCTGGATGAATACCCGGAAAGATCAGAGGTCTAAAACAAATACCGCGTATGTTTTAAAATCACCTAACGTTAAAACCTTATTATATAATGTATTTCTGAATGTTTAAAGTGCATAAAATTAGCCATTGACCACTGGAGTTAGTGTGCGGTTGTGGCAAAGCTTCATGTGTTTACAGTTTTGTAAATTGCAGTCCTTTTTAATGTGTCGACATGCCACCACACACCCTCTTCATCTGGGAAGAATTACACACAATAGCAACTCTTTCCTCCAGTGCAGGACACGGGCTCCACATACAACAAACATGTGTCACTGGATGGACACCATGTGTGAGCACTGACTCAGACTGTATGCTTTTTTGTCAACTGTGCACAGTTTATTTTAAAAAGGTTCAAAACGTTCCAACAGATGTTTTAGTTCCGGTGATGAAAGTTTTCTGCTGCCAGAGGTGACCCTTAAATTTAAGGTTTCTTTGGAGTGACGATGTGTTTGATGATAGCAAAGAAGCCTCTTCTATAAATTTATCTTAAGATAGCATGATATTGAATAGAACCAATCTATTTGGCTACAGTAGTACATCATTCAATTAACTGTTCACACCTTCCTTTATCTTTTCTTCACTCCCTGTAAGATAGGGATGTGGTGATGATTTTCAGTTCCCAGTATTAAATCAAGTCTTTAAAGGGCAGGTATTCTGGTTAATTCTCGTACGAAGAATTCCTTTATCCTGCCATGAAAAGGTTTGAACTCATAAATGGCCTGTTTACCTTAATGCCAATTAATTTAAATTAAAGTCCAGCTTTTGACTTGGCCATAATTAAAACGTAATTTTGAGCCCTGCAGAGATGGACTTACAGGTCTTTAAATGCATCATTTTAAAATCCTGTTCTCCTCCTGGAGAGCTATTTTCATGACTCCTTCAGATAAGACAAGTTGTCCAGACCCTATAGAAAAAAAGCAGCCTTTACAAATTCATGATGTATGGATATTGGTATGTTTTTTTTATCTTTGATGCTTTAGTAGTTTAACCATTCCAACTTTTTTGTGAAGTTTTTTCTAATAAAAACTTCTGTTTTCTTTTTGGTCCACAGTGATTTCGGATGCTCTCTTTTGCTGTTGACTAATAAATTGTAATATTATCTGGGGCAGCTGAAGCCCGAAGTTCCTTAGATTTTGTTTAAGGTTTTTCTGGAACCTTCTGGATGCTATCTTAATAGCTCTAGGAGCAATTTTTGATAAGCCAGCAACTCCTTAAAGCGTTCCCCTCTGTTCCACTTGTAGATAAAGGCTCTCGCTGTATATCACTAGTGACACAAAAAGCCTTGGAAGACTGCTCTGTAACACTTTCTGGACTAATGGATAACCCTGAGAGCATTAATTAATTTCTTTATGTCAGGGCATGACGTGCAGCTTTTTGGAGATTTTCAGCCTACTTCATGTTGTCAGAGGTTTCTTCATTTTGCATGTCAGATTTTTTGTTAAGGCCTGCTTTGATCTTAGAGAACAGATGTCCCATAGCTGACATAACATAAATGGTTATACATTCAAATAGGGCTACAATGATTTGTAGCAGGGCTGCTCAGTCGTGCAATTGGGTAGCACTGCTGCCTTGCAGGAAGAAGGTTCGGGGTCTTTCTGCATGGAGTTTGCATGTTCTCCCTGAGTATGCGTGGGTTCTCTCCTGGTACTCCGGCTTTCTCCCACAGTTCAAAAACATTACTGATAGGTTATTGGCTTCTCTAGTTTCTCCTTAGGTGTGAGTGTGTGCGTGAATGGTTGTTTGTCCTGTTGCTCTCTGTGTTGCTTTGCGACAGACTGGCGACCTGTCCAGGGTGTACCCCGCCTTTCGCCCATAGACAGCTGGAGATAGGCACAATGCACCCCTCGCAACTCCAATTGGGACAAGCGTGTCAGATAATGGATGGATGCATGGATGATTTGTAGCATTTCTAAACAAAAAAAGTGTTCCAAAGCTGCTTATAAAAAGCAGTTTTACTCAGGTTATGAAACATTCAGCGAGTTCTAGAAAATAAGAATAGATTAATTTATTTAGATGAAGAACACTTTAACACTACTGTACATTGTAAGAGAAAACGGATCAGGTAAAATAATGTATAAGGCTTAATAATACAGGTTTGAAACCAATAAAACAGCTAAACAGCTGATATATTCACTCACCTGATTGTCAGGATCTTTTAAAAAAAGATTATTAAGAAATGGCTTGGTTGATTTGGACCACAGTGTATGAAACTGCATTGAGACACCATTACTAGTTCATATAAATTTCACAAATGGAAAATGTGTTTCTGAAAAGACAATTACTTGTTAGGCTGAGTTACAGGAGGAGACTGTATGGTATATATTTACTTCCCTTATTTACTTTTTATTCTCTTTATCCCTAACCTAAAACAGTTCCACCAGGGTTCGGTCTGACTATGACACACTTGGAAAACAACGCTTAAATTACCATTTATAAACCTCAAGGGACAGCTTTTCTTCATTTCTTCATGTTTACACTTTGCTCATTTGATGTTTTTAGATTTTTGTATTTTATCCAGGATTTTGTCCATTTGTATGTTAGAAAAAAATCCAAAATAAAGCTGCATGTGGTATTCCAATCTAGTATGAAAAGGAACTGCTCAAATAAATAATTAGAAGTCTAATTAAATCCAGATTCTATCAAAACATAAATAACAAGCATGAAAATGATACCAGTGCTTCCATTTAACATTGTTAGTACTTTTTCATGTTGCCAGGCAACTTTGTTCATAATCAAAATAGGTCAGGACTGCAAAAGAGAGAACAAGGGTTACAGGCATAGTGTAAAAATCTTGCACAGGTTACTGACTTGTACCTCATTACATTATCACAACTCATAAATCGCTCCAGCCCCCTTCTCCTCACTTTGCTCACCCAGAAACATTTTGCCGTATTCCCAAAAGTCTGTTGAGTTTCGTGAAAATACCTTTCTGCTTACTCATGGGTTTATGTGGTGTAATGAGGCTAAAAATAAATCCATGTTTGGTCAGAGACGGGGCATGTGTATGAGAGGACTGGAAATGTTCAAAGTCTGGGCCTCTGCAGAACATGGTATGTCTTTGCCCTCAGATAACTCATTAAATGTGAGCGACATTTGGCTTCTGCCGTAAAATAGTGAAATGAAAAGACATCCACACTGCGGTGAAGTAGTAATAACTGTTTGCTTGGGGATCATTGTTTTATCAAGCCACCCTGTCCCCAAACAGCTTCCTGTCTTGCTGTTTATCCAGGCATTGTTCTCTGCGGTTTTGGACCGCAGCTTTTCTGTACTGTCACTCAGACTGACTCACATGCATGCATGGACAAATGTAACAACAAGGGAATGAGATGCTGAATTTTACCCACGTCATGAATCATTGATCCAGAAATAAAAGGACGCCTTCTCCAGACAATGGAACTAGCTTTACCGTGTGGTCGTTTTTAGAAACGTCAGCAAAATGATTCTTCTTTCCAGTCAGGAGCTTTTCCAGCTGGACTTTCAGAAAAAAAAAAAAAAACACTGAAGGTTTTGGCAAGAAATATTAACATGTTATTATTATGGTATTTAATGGCGGATTTTAAACAGGCCTTTGGTTACTTAATATGTAAAGATTTAGACATGCACAGGTGATCATTTGATGGCTTTGGGACTTCTTAAAAGCAACAAAAGATGCAAATTTATAATCACTTTTATATTGAATAAGTTCTAGAAGATCACCCAAACTTTTATAAGTTGTTAGAATCAAGGCATAGTAGTAGAAAAACAGAATCAAGGAACATAACTTTAATGCTAAAACCCTTTTTGGGTTGTTTATTTAAGTTTAATTTCTGGTTGGTTTATGTGCAGCACGTGCCTAACAAAGCTGTCAATAACAATTATTCAAGGCAAAATATGTCATTAACATATAGCATATAACAACTCATTCACCTGTGTCAATATTCATTTACTTAATCACATCCAAGTTGTAAATTACATTTATTTAAACAAATTAAGTAAAGTGTACCTGTTTTTCATAGGCACCAAAAGCATTTTACTGTACTCAAAATTTTAAGTAAACTTATATCCCTGTAGTATTTGCTGTTATGAAATAATAAAGTAGATATTAATTATTTTCTTGTGCTTGACATATTGATTTACTTTGTTGCATCATGTTACATTACTTACTAATATCAGGTAATCATTGTCAGTTTTCTTTTGATAAATGAACCAATGGTCTATTTATTTGATATACATTAAACTGTTTATTTCTAATTTTAAACAGTTTTACAAAGAAGTAAATACCCTATTGTATTAAATTGCCCAATATTTCATGCCACCCAGAAATTTGACAGTCTAACTGGAATTCATCCACGCTTAATCCCAGTTGGGGTCGCGAGGGGTGCTGGTGCCTATCTGCAGCTGTCAATGGGCGAGAGGCCCATTGACCAGTCCATTGCAGGACAACACAGAGACAGGCAACCTTTCACGGACAAACTCACAAGGAGAATAAGGAGAATTTAATTAGCATACCACACCCATGTTCCCCATTTGTTAATTGTCCTCTTTTTTTTGACAGTTTTGATGTTTCACCTCTGGAACGTGTTGCTGTATCAGCTACAGCTTATCAAAAACATGCAATCTTCTTCCCAATTCAGGCCATGGGGTGTGTAACTGCGGTTTCTGCCAGTGTGCACCAGACTGGCAGGGCGAGAACTGCAATTGCTCCCGACGCACAGACACCTGCATGTCCAACCTGGGTCTACTCTGCAGTGGCAGGGGCCAGTGTGTTTGTGGGGTCTGTGAGTGTACACAGCCAGGGGCCTACGGGGCCACATGTGACAAGTGCCCTACTTGCCCAGACGCTTGTACCATGAAGAAGTAAGTCTACAAATCCACCTGTTTGCATGAAGAGTAGCTGAATTCAAAATATCTGGCTAAAAATTATCATTTACTGGATGAAATTGCATTGAATACGATTGTCTTCATAGGGAGTGTGTGGAATGTAAGCACTTCAAGAGAGGCAAGCTGCATGACGATAACACCTGCAGTCGAATTTGCAAGGATGAGATTGTACTTGTTGATGAAATAGGTAAGCCTTGGCCAAAGTTAGGATTTGTAATACACAAATATTGTTAGGACTGATTTGTTATTGCCAAGTGTATGACGACGAAATATGCAAGTAATTGTTAATGTTTTAAAAATTCTTACAGAAAGGCATGATTTCAAGTGCTGTTTTTTTTTTTTTTTTGTTGTTGTTTTTTTTCCGAGTGGACTCACATCTTTCTCCTGCCTTCAGTGCATGTTTGTTTTGATTAGAGTGCCCAAAACAGGGGGACAAATCCCCTTACGACAGAGGTAGGGTGAGACGCCGTTCATGATCTCAGAGAGGGTATGAGGGGAATCAGTGTGAGAACAGGGGCTGAAAGAGTACCATAACCGGGATGAGCTGGTCAAATATACCGCCTTATGGCGCTAAGGACCGTCAGGGGCAGAGGCGGTAGCTTGTTGCTGCTACCTCAGCAAGAGAGCTGGGGAGCACAGGCAGCTCGGAGAGGACTACCAGGAAACAACGATGATGGCCCTGAAGAGGCTATAGAGGCTAACTCTGGAGGATTAAAGCAGAACAGCGGAAGATCCGAATTGTCCTCTGGGTGGAGAGTGGTCTAAAGACAGGGGAGAGTGGCTGCAGTTTACCGTGAGGAGAATGGAGTGACATCTAAGAGGCCTGTCAGGGCGATAGAACAGGAAGAGACGACAGCAGGCCAAGGCTAGGCTCTAGAGGGTAACTGCTGGAGATGAACAGAGGACTGCTGAGGTCCGACACCACCCACCCCAACCATGGACCCACACACACACACACACACACACACACACTAAAACCACCCTCCATGGGCATGGACAATACACACACCTTAGTTTAGTTTTGTCTTCAATTTCAATGTTTCTTTTAGCAATATTTATTGATGTTGCTTCTTGCAATAACTCAGTGCAATATATATGTATATATATATATATATATATTTCTTTACCCTGTATATAGCTAGCTCTTAGTTATAGAAAACATATTTTTTATGCAGGAATAAGGTCTTAGCTCTGTTACACTGGTAGCCAAGTAATCGACATTTCGTTGTCAAGATTCACCTCGTGCATCAGCTGGCTTTTTCAAGAGCCACTCACAAACCTCTTAAAAGCATTCCCCGCTTCATTATTTGTCAACATTACTTTCTGTCTTCCATTTTAATTTAGAAAGCTTGTCTCAGCAGCCTCCACTAAAACAGTGGTCAATTCGTGATACCTTCTCATATCTTAATTTATATACTTGTCAATATACTTGATTTGATGCTGCGATCTAATGTAAATAAAGATCATCAATTGACAAGATAGGTAAAGCGAACGGCGTGGAAGCTATTTTGTACCATGATGCTCTCCGTGTTGTTGGAGAGGAAAGACAGTATGCGTGGGCACTTCATGTTGCTGCAGTCTGACTATTATTATGAAAATGACATATTGTAGTTTTAAAGATTATACAATATGCAATAGTTCAGTTCAGAATATAAATATAATGTTCAGAAAGCAGTTCTGTTGTTTTAACTATGTAAATTTTAATAATGTAGATTTTTATCAATCATTACCGTCGGGGTCCCTGTGTGTGGGTTAGTAGAGATGAACAACTTGCGCTAACCCACACATAGGGTCCCCAACAGTTCCATCATTATGTAACGATTGATAAAAATCAATTGTAACAATTGATTTGGTAAAATACTCAAATGTAAAACTTTTGCTGTATCTTATAGTTCTTAACACTAGAGTTTTTTTCACTCCTACTATACTATTAAGCTTTTGCTTCTTTAGTAGAATAATTTACAGTCTATTTTCCTCACTTCAAGTGCTCATCTTTACTCTGCAGTCATAATTATACTTCTTTTACCAAAAAGGCAAGAACATACTTATGATATTTATACTTTGACTGATTTCTTTGACATTTTCTCACAGTGCTCCATGATACAAATGCGGTAAACTGCTCATATAAAGATCAGGATGACTGTGTGGAGCGATTCCAGTATTATGAGGACGCCAGCGGCAAATCCATCTTATTTGTGGTCAAAACGCCTGGTAAGAAATACAACTCCACACAAAGATGACACATAACCACAGTAAACCATTCATGTTTTAGGAATATGAAAAACATCCCAATTAGCTTGAAAACATATTGATGAGACAGTTGTATCTTAGAAGGAAGGTGGATAAATTACTCAGAGAAGATTTAAATAGACACAAAGGAAGCTTAAAACTAACAGTAGATGAACTTGAATAGAGAATAGTGTTATATTGGGTGAACCCTTCTACAAACCATAAGAAAAAGCACCTAAAAAAGCACCACCTTTATCACCACAAACACTGGTTCTGTGTGTATGAATCACAGAACAACAGCAAAGGGCCTTGTGAATATTTAATTGCCCACAGAGAAACAGGCTTTGAAAAAGTGCGGCAAAAGCATTAGCCAGCTTAAAAAGGCACACATAAAAATAAGCAGGATAAAGAAGTTAAAAAACAAACCACTGGACTTTTTGTTTCTCATCTAGGTCATGTTGGTCATCCAGGTCATAGTCATTCCAACAAAGTTAAAAAAAAGTTTAAAAAACAAACCACTGGACTTTGTTAACTAACTTTAAAGTTTCTCAAGTTTGATTTCCAGGCTTATAGAGTGGCACAAACAAAAGCCTTGTTATGGCTTAGGAAACATGCAAATCGAACAGAAAAAATGGGGAGTCGTTAGGATCATTGTTGGCCTGGCTGACCAGGTGTTTTGGTCCCCTGCATGGTGATGAGGTTTGAGATGATAGCGGGAGGGAATCGACTCTATCACTGCATTGTAGGTTTTTGAGAGCTGTAACCTGAGACCACCCTCATTACTGAGGGGTGGACCTGATTTTTCAGTTCAATTTGCATGTTTCTTAAGCCATAACAAGGTTTTTGTTTGTGCCACTCTGGAAAGCAAACACCACTCCAGACATTTTGAATTGAGAAACTTCAAACTTGGAAAACAAAGTCTTTCCAAACATATGATGACCCAGCTCTCTAATAATTGGAGTTACTAGAATATAAACTGATTTAAACATTAGATTCATTGTTCCTCTTCAACATCAAAGACTAAACGATTTTAGCCTTTCCATTTTTTCTAAGTATTTAAATGATTCCATTTTAACAGGCTATATGATTTGTTTTAATCAAAGTAATGTTTATAATCAATATCAAAAAGCCAAAAATTTAATAAAAACTAGTATAAATTACTATAAAACTTGTAACAAAATATGGTTTTTAAATCATTTTAACCAACTGGTTTGGGAATATCAAAAATAAAGTCAAAGATATAAAAAATCTTATTAATTTTGAACAGCCACCAGTACAACAGGGTTGGCTCATAAGTTTATAGACCAATCAGATCTTCTTATGTTGTGGTTTCCTTCATCCAAGCTGTAGTCACCATTCCCTTGATACCTGTTTGGCAGCCAAACAAAGAGAGAGCTAATAACCATTACTGCCCAGAGAGACTATACCTTTAATGAATGTATGTGTTTAATTTAGATAGTGGTGGGTGTAAGAGAATTTCCCTTGGAATTTGCCTTGAACACACCACACCCTGCTGTGTCATAGAGGCTGTTAAAAGCAGTCCTGCTCTTCTAGAAATCTGCTGACTTCATAGATCTTTAAGAGGACAGCAGTTAAAGAGATTCAGCCGACTATTTAAAGAGCCAAAGAAAGGCAAAGGTTTTAATTGAATGAATAACTGAGTCAGTGAATAATACCAAACAAACCAATATTAGCTATGAATTTAGTTTAATGTGCATTCAGGTGTAAGGATGCCATTTAAAGGGATCAAAGGGTCAGCTGAGGAGTCGGAAACAGCCAAGAAAAAAAGGAGAAGAGGGAAGAAGAAAAAGAAGAAAGAGGCTTTGAAGTTTGCTGTAAAATTTAATTCCTGTTGTAGGTCACGCAAAACTGCTGCAACCTTACGAGCTGCATGTGGTCTGAAAGAACATTGTGACTCATATATATGTAGTTTGATTTGCCAAAATGGAAGACAACAGGAAAGTGGCCAAAAAGGGAGAATGTTTATTTGAATATGTCCATGAAGAAATTAATATAGTTTAAAACTGAGGAAGAACCAGGTGCATCTTGTTAAATATATCTCTAATAATGAATATCTTCTGGAATATAGGTGCCATGTTCTCAGAGACATGGAATAAAATACCCTTTTTATGTATGACATTTAATCAGATTAAAGTGTCTAAGGGAAACACAGACTAAGTTAAAGATTAATACTTTTTCACTTGCTCCAAATTAAGCATACATACTATACTCTAAGATATGTGTATGCTTTTAGACAAGAGGGTGATGCCGGTGGCTTTTTAAGCTCACATCTGAACATGTAGGTACTTCCTTTTATGGCTTTTCCTCTTGAGTAAAATTTTCCAATGCATGACAGTGCCACATTTATCAGTTCAAACAAGTAATAATAAAGGCATGAGAAGGCCCTGCTGGAAAGGTGTGCTTTAGTCACATTAGACAATGGTCATACAGTGCAGATTGTTTGGGTGAAAAAAAAAAGATGAATCTGTGGAGAAGAACCTCATGCCCACTTCTAAATGTGGTCAAAGATCTGTGAGTTTGTTTATTTTCCAGAATACCTTGGAAACCTGGTTATAGGTCATGTCATCAAGGACTCTTTGAAATATGATCAAATCAATTGGACCCTGATCCCAATAAGGGTAGCACTAGCCTTTTTGTAAAAAAAAATATATATATATAAAAAGGAACAAAAAAAATTATTTCTTCAAATTTTGGGATTTTTTCTTCTACTTGCATTTGTTAATTTGGAAAAATAGATTTTAAACAACCAACGAACACTGTTTTTGCATTAAAAGGTAGCCTTAAAACTAAGAAAGGATAAGATTTGGATGATGAGCTCCTTTACTGCAAAATATTGAAATCTAAATAAGTAATTTTTTCTTAAAACAAGTAAATTTTTCCTTGAATTGAGGATGCAAGTGAGACAGTTTTCCAATGGAACAAAACAAAATAAGAAAAACAATGGTATTGTCTTATTTTAAGTGCATATTATCTATCTTATTCTAAGAGTAAAACTAGTCATTCCATTGACAATTCAAAATAATTAATGGTAAATACACTTAATTTAAGAAATTTTTACTTATTTCTAGATCGTTTTTACAAAACGATGGAGCAAAAATAGGAAAAGTTATTTATGTTCAACTCAAATCCGGAGCCTGAATGGTGTGTTAGCATTGGTGCTTATAGGTTCAGATTTAGAAACATGGGTGTCAGAAAGTTTTGGTTCCCTGTCCAAAATGTTACTCATGCAAACTGCATTAGATTTATAATTTAATAGGCCTCCATATCAGTGGGTAAGAAACTGGCCTAAATGCTTTTATGACGAGCACACCTAAAAGCAAGAGGTTCTTGAATATACGTTTAAATCTGCTGCTGGTGTATAGGGAGAAAGGAGACCCTGGACAGGACAGCAATACATCACAGAGCAAGATATGATATATATTTTCTGCTAGTGAGAAAAGATGTCTCCCTAATCTTTCAAAGATATCCATAATATCATATAGCCTAAACCTTGCTAAGTCAGTGGACAGTCGTTAAAAACACTGATATTTAGCACTTTTACACAATCTGAACTTGTATTACTTTTGCTGGCTTGGCCTGAAATCTTGGAATAATGTTGTAGCTCAGAAAACATTTTCCAAGTGCCTTAAATTAAAGCCTGAAACTTAAGGCCAAACAAGTAGGTTGGTTAATGGAAGTGCTGAGATGATTTTCTGAACAGTTTCCCATTTTGAAGCTTCCCAAACTTGTAAGGAATTCTTTAATGGGACGTAGGGGTGAATACAGATGACTCAGCAGTATTTAGTTTATTACTTCTCTCTTAAAGACTAAAGAATGTTTTTTGTGGACGATTTAAAAAGTTTTTCCTGGACAATAGGTGATAGGAAAAAAACAAGTACACTTCCGTTCCAGTGATAGAATGTTCCATGTTAATGAGCATTGCTGTCAGTGACTTTTGAAACTCCTTAAATCAGATTCCTGTTGCGTTTTTTCCCCAGACCATAATGAGGGAAGGGGGAGCTGTGGCCTTGGCTCTAACATGTCAGTATTTTCCACTGCAGTCTTTCCTAGTTTTCTTCCTGAATATATTAAAAAAGCTGTTAAAGAAACGGTTATTCATGTTAGCAAGGTACCACACCATAGATTAGTTTCATTTGCAGCTTACTTTATGTGCTGCCACAATTTTTCTAATTGGCTCAGTATTGAACTTTGATTGGGCCTTTCTCAACCCATAGATGTGCTTTAAAACAAACCATTACATTACAGCTTTCATTATTGTGTTTTGCAGCCTCTAACTGGATTTCCTCCACAATGGTGCTGTAGAATAGAGTAGCTTCATTAATCTTGCCATTGACCCTGATCTAATTCCCTATCCTCTTTCTTTATTAATAAAAGCATCTCATCAGCATGGTTCTAACATGAAAATGTTTCAACATACAGGTGGCATCTTGGGGTAACCAGTAATAGTTTATTTTTTTATATATATATACAGTAGTTTGAATGTAGGCTAACAAGTATTTGGTCACAACTAACAAGATAACCTATTTTTTTACTGTGTCCTCTACATTGCTTCACGCAATCTCAAGAATATATGTTTCCTTCAAAAATGTCTTGCCAGTCTTCATAAGGGTTATATATAGTGTTAACATAACAAATAATTGTCTTGTTAACAGTCTCCCACTTTAGCATTGATGCTCAAGAAAAACATTGTCAGACTTCTTGTCAGTGTATCGACTGCCCAGACCTCCCAGGTCTTCTGGTTAATATCATCTCTGCATAGCTTGCACCAAGTCCAACAATGACAAAGTAGATTTTTATTTTTATTGTATACAGAACAGAGGATCGTGTATTCAGACAGACAGACAGAATAATATTTCAAAAGGCGGTTATTTAAAAACAAACAGATCTGCCGTGAGCAGCTAGGGTGTCTTAGGTACGAAACTCTGTATGAAGAAAACACAGGTTAGTGACCATGTCTATCTGGCGGAGGATGATAAAGAAAGTGTGAGTCACTAAACTGGTTTTAAAGTTCAGTCCATGTCCAGAGGAAGAGGTTGGTTCCAGCCGGTCGACTGCCAACAAGACATGGCGGGCGCCTCCCAGAGAGACCCAGAAATTTAAGTTCCAGAGACCAGAGAACAAGCAGGAGAGAAGATCCGAGCAGATGAAGGAAGGCAGGATAATTCAGGGGGCGAAGCTAAAAGGTTCAGAACCAGGAGATCAGAGGTCCGAAGAGGTTTCAGAAGGGAAATTCAGAACGGTGTCAGGAATCAGTCCCAAGTTCGGTTAACATGCAGAATCCAGTAGCAGTCCGATGACAGGTCAGGTAAACAGATCAGAACAGGGAAAGGCAGTCTCATAGGTCCAAAGATAGAGTGGGTCAGGATAAGAGAATCAGTAACACTAAGGTACACTAGACATAGACAACTCTGACCTCTGGTTTGAGAATAATCTGGCCCTGATGACTGTTTAAAGGCTGGTTAAATAGAAGCTGGAGCAGGTAGATCAGATGAGAAAATTGGCTGAGCCAGGCAGGTGATTGGATTGAGCAATCAAGCCAGTCAACAGCCCCAAGGTTATGACAAATATACTCCATTAATCTTAAAAAAAACCTCATAAAAATGTAAAAAAAATGTTAAAACTCTCAGTTGCTTTATATCGAGAATAAAAGTAAATTTCTTTAGATTGGCCTTTGACTGTGCTAGCTGAATATCATTTGCTACGTTTTCAGTCTGTTTTATTTCAGTTCAGTTTAGTGCAGCACATATAGATAGAACTCGAAGAAAAGCATGTTTCTTTTGAGAGGTGGGGGGGGTGTTCAGACACTTTGCCCTTATATAAAATTCCAGGCACTTCCCCATTTATGTCAAACAATAATGTCAATGCACACTTTTAATTACAATAGGATATTTTTTTGTTCTTAACACTTTTGGATTTACCCTTAACCTCCTTTCTTTAATTCCCTCCTCAAAAAAGGGCCCTTTAGAGTTGGTCGTCATGGATTTTCCACATCACATTCATCAGGCAGCACTGACTAAATTTTATTATAGAAATGCTGAGTGGCTCATCCCTGTCTCACTGAGTAAATTCTGTTGTGCCGGAGAATTGATATCCAATATACAGGCTCAGGGTGTCAAACTCTTTAAAACTCAAGTCACTGAGGGCCGACATCCTGCAGCTATTTGATATGTCCCTTTGATATGTTCAGCAAACCTCAATCAAGTATTTTGTGGTCACCATGTGCTTAAATGTGGCCAAAAAAATGTAGCTACTACATGGGAATGAGTTAGTGTTTCCTGTGCACATTATGTCTCTTTTTCTCCCCATGTCAGGTTCAGCGATCGATATCTTTTCATTTACTAAGATAGTGAAAAAAACATACTTTTTTCTGCCGCCTTCACAATTATACACTATGTTATTCTTTAGCCTAATGTATTTATGCATGTGCCTTTTTACAGCCAAACGGTGAAAAGTTTGATGCAAAATGAAATTAACAGTAGGATGCAGAGAGTCTTGAGAGGAAACAGTTTTATGATTAGATTTCCTGTAGACTGATATTAGTATTATCTTGTTCTGCCTTTTGCCTTCTTCTCATTACTTTATCTGCTTCTCCCCTTCCAAACAGACTGCCCTAAAGGTCCGGACATTTTGGTGGTGCTTCTGTCTGTGGCAGGAGCCATCTTATTCCTCGGCCTTGCCGCTCTGCTGATCTGGAAGCTGCTGGTTACCATCCATGACAGGCGGGAGTTTGCCAAATTCGAGGAAGAGCGTGCTCGGGCCAAGTGGGACACGGTGGGTAAACAACGGGGGAGGTTTAACATGCAGAAAAGCAGCTTTGATTGATTGTATCAGGGCTCAATTAGTGATACCTGGGGAAATATATTTTTCAAATGTGTGCCTGTCTATGTCTTTGCTGACTCAAACATAGAAAAGGCCACACACAGCCTTCTGCCTGTTTTGTGAGGGTCCCTTTTTTATTATTTAGTGCCATGCCGTTACTCCCAGCAGAACAAAAAGCAGCAAAAGGAAGGGCTGGGTTTATATCAGCCAATGCTAATCAGGTACTGGTAATTGGCCTCTTTGTGGTCTCACAAAACTCCCAAGCTTTAATTTTCAGGGAATCACTTAAGTCACAGAATAAAGAAAGGGTAAACAAAAAAAATTTAGCTTTTTATTTTTGATAAATATTTCCACTTTTTTAAGTTCTTTAAAACTGACATTATTGTTTCTTATCTTGATTGATTTTCAGGGGCACAATCCTCTTTACAAAGGAGCGACATCTACATTCACCAACATCACGTACAGAGGAAAAGACTGATGCTACTGAAAGAATAAAAAAGAAATGTAGAGCATGAAATACTGGACTGATAAGAACCTTTGGGAGAGTGCAGCGAGTCTTGTGCAGCCTTCTACTGTCATTTAATAATAATGTGTGTAAATATGTAGAAATTATTCTGCGGAAGAATTTTCTAAGTATTAATTTCCTTCATAATGGTGAAAAATAGTTAATGCTTTTAAGATTTACAGAGGTTAATTTTCTGCTCAGGCATAAATAAAGAATTGTGGTCTCCTCATATATATTGTACAGTATGTCTTGGCAATATATGCTTTTATCTCTGATCCTCTTTTGTTTGTAGTTTATTTTCATTTTCATGTTCAACAAAAAAGGAATCCAATAAAAAAGCAAGACTTAGACAACCGAGGTGGCAGCTGAACAATGATGTAGAGTGATATTGTTTCTCTAAAAAAACAAAAAACAAAGTCAAGAGCATAGCACAATGGCAACCCAAGAAGAAAGTTAAGCTTTCAACGCCTCCAGCTTGAATGTGAGAACATAAGATTTATGCTTTGATTGTTCTTGTTAGGAGGATAAATTCAGATGTAATGCCTGAGAGCAGTAGCTTGGAGACAGATTACCGCCCCACCCAAGGATTAAAAAAAGGAACTATAATACTTACTTTAAAACAAGATGGTTTAGTTTTATGTGGTTTCCAAAACATGATCATTTGTTTTTTCTTAGCTTAAAAGTATTCTCAGATACTCAAATAATGAAATAATTACCTCTTCAGTTTTCAGCTCCTTTCACAATCAGCAGTTTTAGAGCTCCTTCCCTTTTATTCCAATAAGCTTTGTCTATCCGACTCACCCAGCCTCAAAGCTTTCATTCTCAATATTTTTAAAATTGGTCACAAACAGATGCCTAATGTTACAACCATAGACCCAGAAGCTAAAGAAGTAGACACTTCTGCTGAGCCAGCAAGGATGTAGCAACTGGTTTCTGGATGATAAGTAAGTTGCCTATTTTTACAGAGCTACCTTGAAAGTCAGGCTTCTGGAGTGTTATCTATTGGTTTGTGTAAGATACTTCCAGGAGGACACCAATTGCGTTAGCACTCCTTCGAGAGTTTTAATGAAGAAATCAGAAAGTGCTGATCATCACCTGTAAATTATTAGATTGCATATAATACTTATAAATGTGTTAGATTTTGTTTGTTATAGTTTTATGCCCCTGGGGCTGCTGTGAGGTTCAGTGTCTGCCGACAATGACGTAATTTTTGGGAAATTTGACTTTTAAAATAGCCACTGCTTTTTAGAAGCAGTTGCAGTAGAGATCCAAATGTATGTATGAAAAAATTTTGCATAGTAGGTTTCCTTTAAGAGCACTATGTGGTGAGAAAACTCTGCCTGTTATTTTGCTTTTTAAATATTTGAATTCTTGCCATAATAAGATCATTTTTGCTTCATTTCTTACCAGCATTGTTATTTTGATGTGCTCAGGCTTGTATAAGGGCAACTTTCACAGCAATGTAACTCCAATAAAACTACTTCACATAAGTTATATAGGAGTGTCATGCTGTGTTTGGCAAAAACATTAAAGCTGTAAATGGAAACAGATGGACATTTCACTTTTAACACTTTATACATATATTTTTTTACTTGTAAGAAGCTGAATTCTGCTACAGTATTGAAACATCATCTAAGGAGACTGTCTGACCTACCATGTTTTCAGATTACAAGCTATCCTCCATAAACAGCAGAGCCTTTTCTTCAACTTCCTATAATGTGTAAATCCCTTTTATTGTCCCTCAATGGGGAAGGTAATTCTCTGTATTTTGACCCATCCCTTTGGAGAGCAGTGGGCTGCCATTGTGTGGTGCCCGAGGAGCAGTGTGGGGATAAGGGTTTTGCTCAGGAACCCAGAGTGGAGGCTGTGGGAATCTAACCTCAGAGCACAAGCGCACTGCTCTAACCCACTAGGCTAACTAGGAAATGTGTTACTCAATAGCTTTGAAAATAAGATTATTTTTATATAGCCACTGATTATGGCTGAAATATCTGTGCACTGATGGGCTCAGACCTGAATCTTTAGAGGCATATTGCAAAGGTGTATGTTTGATTTTAACTTTGGCAGGAAAAACATTGGTCTGATGTCATTAGTCCTATGCAGAAATGCGTTTATTTTTTTTTTTTGTGCTTGACATGAGCAACAGGTTGCATTTAGTTTAAAGAGAAAAGGAGCATTTCTTGCTACATTTATACAAATTTTATTAGCACTACACACACTAGATACTTTTTATCAATGTTTGATTTGAGTGTGAGAGCATGCACATGCCCATTTCTCCTTGTGTGTGCTCTGTTTAAAAGTTGCCGTTCTAACAGCTCATAACAGCTTACTGTATCCGAACATCCGTCCTAACCCCTAAATCCATTAATCACTATATAGAGCAGGGACTATATAGTGGACTTTATAGCAAACTCAGTTAACTTGCTGTTTGGACAGATGGCCACTGCTTACTCTTCTCCTTTGGTCACGTAACTCCTCCTCCATCGGTGCCTGCGTCATCTTTGTTTTTAGTCACCGCTGTTTGGTAGCGACAGCCCATGGCGACAGCGGTCAGCTGTGACAGCAAATCTCATAATGCTTTGCGAAGAGAGCTCTTCACGCAAAGCATTCAGGGATATATCTGCCTCTTGTGGGGCCTTTCTTTTGTTCTCATACACTTCGTAGACACTTTTTCTCTTATTACCCTCTGCCATTTTTAAAGAACCGCTGTGATAAAGGTCAGCTTTAATGACTGTCTGAAACCATAGCTCACCACACATATACGCCTGAAAGTGCACATGCACAGAAAAAGATAGCCAACTGGGGACGAGTACGTAGGACGGTCTTGCGTGGACATATCGCCAGAATGATTGACAACTAGGAGGACCACTTACTTAGATGATCCACCCAAAAATAAAAGATCATCCTCTATACCTTTAAAGGAATAGTACACCCAAAACATGATTAGCCTTCATTTTCTATTCACCCCCATGCTGAAGAACACTCTGGAGTACTTTTTTGATATCTCAAATGCATCTGGAGATCTGGGAGGCTTCTTGCTGTCTGCTGACATTCAAATAATGGAGATCCATAGCGCCCGAGGCAGAAAGGTCCATAAAAGTCCACAAAAAACGTGTCGGTATTCCTCCATACTGCTCGTCCAATGTATTCCAAGTGTCCTGAGTGGGTAGCGTCCATAATTTACTCGAAACAAAGTCATTTAGAATGTTTTTAGAGCATAAACAGTAGTGTATAGGATTTCCTAAAAGCGCGTTCACGAGTCTACGGAAACCGCGGCAGACCAAACCAGATGAAAGTGCGCATTCAGCTCGGCAAAGAAATCATGCTCTTCCTCAATACTGAAGTCCTCAGACATTTTTCTTTCGTTGTTTCTTTCTTTGCACAGGTAAACAGCACATTTCTTCTTCTACGCTTGCATTATCGGCAGAGCAGACGCTGAATGCGCACTTTCATCTGGTTTGGTCTGCCGCGGTTTCCGTAGACTCGTGAACGCGCTTTTAGGAAATCCTATACACTACTGTTTATGCTCTAAAAACATTCTAAATGACTTCGTTTCGAGTAAATTATGGACGCTACCCACTCAGGACACTTGGAATACATTGGACGAGCAATATGGAGGAATATTGACACGTTTTTTGTGGACTTTTATGGACCTTTCTGCCTCGGGCGCTCTGGACCTCCATTATTTGAATGTCAGCAGACAGCAAGAAGCCTCCCAGATCTCCAGATGCATTTGAGATATCAAAAAAGTAGTCCAGAGTGTTGTTCAGCATGGGGGTGAGTAGAAAATGAAGGCTAATCATGTTTTAGGTGTACTATTCCTTTAAGGTTGTGGTCCATTTGTGATATTTGTTTTACCCATGTTTTTATCTTTCAGAATCAGAATCAGAAATACTGAAATAATCCCAGAGTGAAATTAATTTCGTTACACGCTCCAGTTACAGTTTTATATATATATATATATATATATATATATATATATATATATATATATATATATATATATATATATATATATATATATATATATATATATATATATATATATATATATATATATATATATATACTCAGTTAAAGAAATATTTCACAAAATAAATAAACAAATAAATACAGCAAATAAATATATCAGACAATTCTAGAGATACGATACCATACAGAACTGATTTCAGCCATTACTTGTTGGAAAGCAGAAGGCATCTCTGTGCTAAGAAAAGCTAAATCACTAAAACCTTTCTCTGTTAAAGTTTAATACAGGTGATATTTTCTGTAAATTAAAGTTTATTTTTGAAAGCTTTAAGAGGCTTTGAGAGCTTTGAGACACAAACAATTACTGTTTACTGTACTAGTAGTTTAAGAACATAAAGGTAGAGGCCAGCTGGGCAAGGCTTTACAGGGGAGGGGCAATACCCCAGCCCCCTTGACCCCCTGTAGCCCGGTAGATCCACTCCTGCTCTTTACAAATCATCACTAGCAATACCTTTACAATGAAATGTTTTGGGTTAAATAGATGCTACTCTGAATCCTCATAAATAGTTCAGATTTTTTTAACAAATGTGTGTGGGTGGGGGGTTGCTTTTATTGCAACAAAACAATCGAGCCTTTATTGGACTGAGTTATTTTAAAACACACCTGTGTTAGTGAGTTATTATTTTCAACGATGCTCAAAACTGGAACAGAAACTAAATCTTATTTCTTTATTTGGATTTGGGAGCATGTGTTATTCTAATTCCCTCTTGGGAAGGTTACTGTTCTGCAAAGGTAACTCCATCAAACAGGGACCTCTAGTGATATACATTCAAACTTCAGTACAAAACAGCAGGTGGATTTGCTTTGGCTACTAAGTACATTAGATCGATAAAGTTCCCGTTAGGTAAATATTCTGGTAGCGACACAAATACTGATTTTTGTGGTTCTGTTTTTTTTTTTTTTTTTTTCATTAGAGTCATAGGAATAGACATTTGAGTTATTAAAATATAGATATCCTTAGTCCCACATTGGGGAAATTAAACTAAAATTATGCCATAGTGCTGCATAGTGATGCAGTTTGTAGCACTGGTGCCTTGCAGAAAGAAGCACTAGGTTTGATTCCTGCACAAGGTCTTTCTGCATGGAGATTGCATGTTATCCTCAAGTCTGTGTGACAGTGTGGGGTCCTGTTAATATGCCTCTGACTGATCGTGCACCTTGGCTACTTGGCCTTTGCATACATAGGTTCTCTCCGGGTACTC